TCTATGGTCATGTTATGTTTTTTTTGCGGCACAGGTGACCGCTTATGATTCAAATCTGTCCACCGGTCGGCACATCTGCTCTCAACCCTTCGCAGCTGGGGCACCTCCTCAGTCACACGCATGCGACCAACAGGTCCCTCTGTGCTCGCAGCACACACTCGCATCTTGGCCTGGACGCAACCAAAAATCACCAGAAAACAGGCCAAATTTCAGTATGAAATGCAACGGCAATCGCGGCTACAGCACAGTCACGGAAATGATGTGGCAATTTTGGTATCAGGCTGTATCCAGGATTTTGATGCTCCCATCTGTGCATCCAGTCGCACCTCAGCAACGAAGTGCAACACTCTTGCTTCCCAAAAAACATTCTCAGCCCTTCTATGCCCTTCTTACTTTCCTTGCAAAAACAATCAAAAACACGTGAAAATAAATTCAAGCCATAGGCAAAATCTTCCGTCGGTGGAAAAGGCCACGGAGCGGCAGTGAGACTTATGAGATGCTGTGTACAGCAGCCTGCACTCACCAGAAACTGTGTGCCGCGCTTCCTTTGTTGGAGATTGCATGAGTTTACAAGAAAGTCAACAGGTGCATAGCGCAGTGTGCCTGACTTCAGGAGGTTTTTTGGTGGGATCCGGAGTCTGAGAAGTGCCTGACAGCCAGGCCAGCTGCCATATTTAGGACTCATTGCAGAGTCGCTAGACGCGCCTGTTGGAATTGGCATGCCCTCCAAGTCCAGTACCTTTTCCTGTGGGCCAAGAGGTGGTACCTGGCCAGCTTTCTCATCACAAGCGAGCAGCTTTTGGCAACAGTGTCTTCGGATTTGGACCTTGAAAGATCCTTAAAGAACAGGTGGCCAGGTCGTCTTTTGGGCAGTCAGGGCAGTTATGGGGCACAGGTGCGCAGTGGAGAGGTTGCCATTCAGGCTGTGGCTCATCACCAAACGCCCACTTGAGACCTAAATCCAGGAGATCGCCGACATTGCACTTCTTTGTGAGCTTCCATGCGCACGCAGCTGAAAGTCAGGCAATGAGTGCATGCTCTGAGGGCCGGCTTTTGGTGTAAATATCCAACAAAGCATCCTGACTTGTTGGGTGCAATCCAATCAACTAGTTGCATGTGGCGGCAGTGCATTCAAGTTTCTTCTGGATTTTCTGGTTCTTGATGTCGTGCACTTGTGTCTTGACACATTCCCCGGCCCCTGGCAGCATATCTGCCTTCTCAACTTTGGTGTTGGCACGTAGGTGCAACTGCGCTGTCAGGGCTTGGACCTAGCATGGAAACACTCGTAGTATGTTAAGGACAGTGAGAGTGTCGTCACTCATGTCACTCATTTCATGTCACTAAAGTCACTAAAAAGTGTGTTCATGTTCAAAAATGTTCAAAGTTCAAGAAGATGCTTCGGACCAATCCAGCCTCTGCCTCAAAGCCGTCATCCTTAAAGCTCAGAAATCAGGAATATGTGTTCGGCCAGGCTTGACATTCTTGTGAAAAATGTCTGCCACCAATTAAATCATGTACATCTTAGCACTTATTGGAAAACTTGTGCCGGTTCTAACATAGACGGCCAACAGTTCCTCAATATTGACACCATGCCACGCTAGCCTTGAACCCCTCTGAAGTAAAAACCACATTGGCCATATATGAAGCCGAAAGCTAGGAAAATCATTCCATGTAAAGACTTACAATCACCTATATATACTTAGAATATGAAGACTTACTTGCAATACAAGGACTGGCTTACAATACTTGTGGAGACTAGAAGCTTGCGATTTTGGATTAGTTTGATTTTTTTCCTGGACTAGTTTGAATTTTCCTTTACACAAATGCGTGGCCGGTGTCAGTCACCGCTAATGCTGATTCTATTCTCTAAGACTCTAAGAGTGTTGTAAAACAATCCTCGAATCTACAAGCTGCAACCACCTGCCTGCAACTGCCGCAACAGCAACTCATACATGGCCACTTTGTGGGCCGGAAAGTGGCCTCGAGGATCATTTGATCCGTAAAAAATAATGTCCCAGTGCTGCAGAGAAGTTGGAGAATGAGTGCAGAGTGCTTAGACTTGGTCAAATAAATTACAAGTTCGGGCGTAGGGCTGAAAACTGCCTTGCCAAGGCTATATTCTGCATAAAATAGACGAGTTCCAAAAATGACTTTACTCCTTGGTGGGGCATTGCTGGCAACACTTCATATGTATATTATACATATTATGTACATATAATGATATTCATAGATATATTGATATCTATATATATGTACATATATATATATATTATTACATTTAAATATATAGACATATTACATTACATTAAATACTTATATGTATATACATAGTATATTATATATACATATATCATGTACAGATATTGTGCACAATATATAAATATATATACATATTATATTATCTAAAATAATATTATATTATATATTTTTATACTATATCATATGACGATATGTTGTATTGTATTGTATTGTATTGTATTGTATTGTATCATATCATATTATAGAATTATATCGAATTCAATCATACTACATTATATTGTATCATATTATAGTTCACTTCATTTTATTGTATTATATCTTATATTTATGTATATTTAATATTCCATTTTTCAAATTCAAATTAAATACATAGTCTATATATTATAAATATTCTATAAAATCTATATATATTGTATGTATGATATATAAAATGGATTAAATATATATATACATTGAAAATATGTGTATATATATATTACATATATTAAATGTATTATATTTGATATCTATGTAGATATTTTATATACTATATACATCATATTTATTATAATACATGTATGTACATATATTTCATATTATCTATATTATATGTATTAATCGAATTATATAATATTTAAATGTATTATAAAAATATGATGTACGATATATATATATATATAGTATTTATACATATACATCATATATTGTAAAATATATATTTATTGTATATTACATATATCATATGTATTATATATATTACATTATGTAAAAAATATATATATATATTGTATCATATATTAAATAGTTATATATAATTTGTATACATATATATATATTACACAATATATTTTATATGTTCTATAAATAAGATATATCTTCTACATCATTTATTTAAATGTTATATGATATTCCAGAAATTATATATCATAATATATTCTATATTATGTGGTATTTTTTATTTGTTATATATACTGTATATATATGATATATAATTTGTGATATATTATAAATATATTGCAGAATTTACTATATATGATGTAGATCATAATATATATAATCAATGATGGATGATGCATCATATTTTGTATATATCATAATATTTACTTTTTTGTATGTATTACTTTTGATATACGAGATATGTTTCAATTATATCATATATATATATATCAAATATTATCTAGTATGTATTATGTATTTTATATTACATATTATCGTTATTCTAATTATTTTTTATCTTACATGGTTATTAAATATTATGTACCATATATTAAATATCATGTATTATATATCATGTATTATGTATTTTATATGATACTATGTAGCATAGTAAAATATATATTATAAAGATTATATTCTATATATAATATTTATATTGTGTGTATCAAAATATATCATGTACATTATAGATAGATATTATTCATTTCATCTATATCAAATATTTGGAATATACTAAATCATATATATATATATCATAAATATGTTATATATCATATCTATCATATATATTATGTTTATTATATATATATATACATCTTACATAGATATATGTTATTCATCATTTATATTATATGTATTATCTATATATACATATTGTAAATTAAATATCTTAAATATATCGCATATATCATATATCAGATGTATTATACTTATTATGCATATACTATGATATATATGCATATGTATATTATATGTGTATTGTATAATATGTATATATATATATACATATTATGTGTATATTTTCACATACTACATATTATATATGTATAATTTCATACATCTTTATAAGTATATTATTATCTATTCTCGGGTTATTTACGTGGCAAATCAGGCACCTTGATCCGTTGCATCCATTGCTGAAGTCTGCGTTGCCTGTCAAAAGGACAGGCGAACATGCCTCTGACATGATCGATCATGGCTTCTCATGTCTGACTGATGTCTGACGGTGTCAACAAGCAAACCTCCATGCTTGGCACAGGCAACGATCCAGGCTGAGACCTGTTAGAAGGCGGCAACCATTCGAATCTTTCCCGGTTTCTCCACATGAAAGAATGGACATTTATGGAGATGAAACTCAAGGGTTGGAACAAACCTAGTCATGGCTGGCAATGCAATTGGATGACTGTGTTTCTGTCTAAGTTTGTAACAAAGCCACGAAGCCGCAAACTTCCCTTTCAGCGTACTCTCTCGGCGCAGATTAACATAATAAACCCAACGGTAGACCCCTCCAGAACCTCACAGCTTCGACTGCCATGCCTAGACAATGCTACTGTACCAATAGAGTGATCACAAAAGTTAGAAGCTGGCAATGTGCTGCAGTAGAACAACAGCCAAACCTAGATCTGGTTAGTTGTCAGTTGCCCAAGCCATTGACTGCACACCGTTTGTCGCTAGAAAGATTTGTCAGTAAGCTTGAATTCAAACACGTGTGAGAGAATCGAGATTTGGATGCCGTGAAATTCGAGGATATGCAGCATTCATCATCATGATATTGACAGATTATTGAAGAGGCTGCATGGTCATGGTGGGGAAGGCGCTTGAGATGTGCCATTTGCTTCTTTTAGATTGATTGTTTGCAGGAGACTTGAATATCTTGAACGCATGCTTTTCTTGCTTCTGCCTCCAAAGATTGTGGCTAGGGCCAAAAAATTGTCACAGCACATCATCCGGTCTTTGCAGCTGGCAGAGCCACCAACTTCATTGTGTTTCTGCCACACCAAGAGCTCAGGAATGACAACACCATGCTGCACAGCTGGCACACCTTTTCATAAGCCACCTTGCTGCAGTTGCAACTGGGCAACCAGCTTTTCGGCCTAAGATCATGCTCAACAAGTAATATGGTGTACTGGGGGGGTCATATCTATCAATGGATTTGTGAAAAGTTGTGCTGGTATAAGTTTGCAGGTGGTTGCACTATCCTTCAAATGATTGTTCTGCTGTATCTTTCCTGCTGACCATCTTCAAGAATTCTCACTGGACTGATCTGGACTGTTCAACCGGCACCCTGCACAAGATTCACAATTGAGGCCTTGACTGTGGATGCTACATTGGCGGCGAATGAAAGCGACAAGAGGTTGGAAATAGTTCCAGTCTCACGTGACCGATCGTCAGTTGACAGTAACGCCACTGAACCGCCCGATGCTGCTGTAAACTCAATCACCAGGCGAAGATATTGTCCCACCACGGCTAGTCGAGGTATTCCAGCTGACAGCGAGGGTGCTTGTCGTCCAGTGCTTCCACTGTTTGAACCTTCTAAATCGGCCGCAGTTGTTAGAAGCGTCAAATGAAGGCAAAGCAAGTGAAGAGAAGTCTCGACAATAAAGAGCAAATGGCGGAAATTCATTGCTGCACCTTCGAAGTGGATCTGGTGGCTATTCCCCTGTCGAACATCGCTCACTTTGTTCACTCCCTCCTTTGAAGGCACTGCAGAATCTGACAGTTTCAAATTCAGCAAGCTGGAAGAAGCATGCACAAAGATCGCACAAAGAACACCCGCACGCAGATTGGCTTCTGAAACGACATCCTGCGAGACAAGAACACCAGAGCGCAAAGGGCCAAAGGTTTGTGCCGCGGCCGAGGCCGAAGATAGCCCCGATCCTGATAGGCTCTGGAAACTTTGCTGGAAGCCCCCGAAGCCCCCAAAACCCCCTGGAGGTTGTGGTCCTTTGTAGGCCAGCGCCTTGATGTGTTGGGTAATGCCATCGTGTCTCCACACGTGAAGAACATTGGAACAAATCTTAAGCTTTGTTGACTCGGAAGGTAGCATGCTTTCCATCAGAAGTGGTGTGCCCGAATCTGACATTTCGTTTTGATCTGCTGGACATGCACTGACCACTTGCATTGTGAGACCAGGCAGAGCTGGGCGGATCATGGCCTCAAGCTGCTGAAGTTTGCTCAAGTATGGATCTTGCGAAGCCATCGAAGCCATGCCAACAGCTGAGCCTTTGACTCTTCCAACAGCTGAAGTTAAGAGTGACCACAGCTCAATGAACAAAGAGACACATCGATAGCACAAAGCAACTCCTTCAACTTGCAGCACTTGTTCCTCTGTCGCTTTCCCTGAAGTGACACCCAGTGCACGTCGGCCGCTGAGGGAAAAAGCCAAAGTGTCGACGGAAGCGTCTGCAGAGCTGTTTACGATACTTGCTTGGAGAGATCGGCAATGCACAAGCATTGCATCCGGACCACTGCGGCCGGCACTGCCCCCGCTTCTTGCTGCCAAAGCAGACACCATCGATGACAGAAGCGAAACATGTCCAGCCCGTCTTGGCTCAGCAGACAATGTCATCGGCAAGCGGGTGACCCATTGCACAACATCAAGTAGAGGCTGCAGATGTTTCTCAAGCCACTGCAGAGTGCTGTGTAAAACTAATGAATGCGTTGGAAGAACGCCAAGGATGGAGACAATAACTTGCAAAATTGCAACCAGGGATGCTGGATCGGTTGTGTCCAATGCATGCAATCCTGCAGGAGCCAATCTCATCCTGCAGCCCAGCATCTCTGACCGCAGGATGGCTGAGAAGCCTGCAGCTTCAAAAAAGGCGCTGGCTGCTTCAGGTGCTTGGCAAAGAATTGCAGCAAGAGCTGCGCTTTGGTATCTCTGTACTCCTCGATCTGCTCGATTCTGATCCTGCTCTATACGATCTGAACCAATGAGTTCTGTAAGCTGCTGCCAAAGCCGACCTTTGAAGACCTGGGATCTCTGCTTCGCAGGTACTCTGGTGAGGAGTGCACACATCAGCGGCAGAGCGACTCCCTGGCGTGTCTCCTCAAACATCTCCACCTGCGCAGGCCAGTCATGATTGGAAAGGTGTGACACAACAAATCCTCGTTGCAACCTTTGCGACAGCCGAAAGCAATCAAAAAGATTTCAAAGCAGTGAAAGCACCAGGAAAGACGGCGTTAGTACGATGTTCGATAGATGTTTCTTCCTCTTCCTCTTCCTCTTCCTCTTCCTCTTCCTCTTCCTCTTCTTCTTCTTCCATTTTCTCCGGTCTTCTCCCATCTAGGTCCTCCGTTTTTGATCAGACCGCTGCACGCCTCTGCAACGGCAGCGGCCATCAAGGATGTCAACAGCTGGGAGAGTTCTTGCAGGTCCTGCAAGCAAAGGAGAGGTCAAAACACTGAGATAATATATATATGTGTGTGTGTATATATATATATGTTCGGATGTTTGAAAGATAATTTTTGAGTTCAATCGTGTCTGTAGTTGGTCAATATTGTTCAATCATGTTCCCTCCAAATCCCGGGTTCACCACTCAAGCAACACATCCAAACCATATGATATACTTGTCACCAGAGGATGAATGAAAACACTGGCTATACGGCTATACGCAGTGATTTCGACTTTCAATTTTCAGGATTTAGGGTTTTAATCTAGGGTTTAAGGTTTTAGGGTTTTAGGGCTTTAGGGTTTGTTGTTTTGGAAAGTAAAAATACTTAAACCTTACGGAGGGATTTGAGCATGTCAAAGGATATGCGGGATTCACCCCGGCCAAACCTAGCATTTGCAGCGAACATGTTTTACCCACTTCAACGCGATAGTATTCTGAGGATTACTGATGTACACAGTGTTTCTGTCTTACATTGGAGGTTCCAGGCACCAGCTGACCTGCGCCTCAAGGAAAGAGGGCTGTAGACCTTGAACCGCCTCCAACGCCTGGAAGCAAGACCCAACTCTTGTTACTGTAAAGATGTAAAAAGGGCCAACATCTACGAGGCAAGTCGAGACCGGAATCGCAACACCAATTTTATCAGACGAGACAAAAACTTCCTTCATCGTCTTTCCTGTTTGGATTGGCAAAATCTGCAGTGATCACTGGGCAAGCGACGGGGTCGGGCAACATCCGCTGCAAGAGAAGCAGCAGCGCCTGCTGAGGTTTTTGCTAAGAGACGCCACGAAGATGGGCCACAAGGACATGGTGCTCACATCGTACTCACATCGTGCTCTCGTGTTCGACCCAGTTTTTCGTGTTGTTCATCTTATTGTAAATGTTGTCGATGTTTCTTTGTACCTATGTGACTAGCTCGCACAGTGCTGCTCAAAGCAGCAGCAGCCTTATCCACACAATTCTAGGTGAAAAAAAATTGAACTGACAAAATCATACAAAATTTTGGTTGGCGCCTGTTTTCCGGTCATCCACTCATTGTGTTTTATGAGGTTTTCCAAAAACTTCGCTGGCTTAGTTTCAACATCCAATGCCCTCAATTTCCCTTTTTCTAGCTCATCTGCGTATCTCGGGTAAAGTTTTCCTAAAACATTTTTCGTTCTCATATATATATAATATATATGTGTGTTTATTTATTTATTTAGATAAATATACAAATATACATATATAGCTATATATAGCTATATATATATACATACAGTAATACATATATTGATATGTATATATATATAAACATATATGTATGTATATATATATATAAACATATATATACATATATACGTATACATATATATATATATACATATATGTATATATATATATTTATTATGTAAATGTATATATATATTATGTAAATGTATATATATATATATTATGTAAATATATATTATGTAAATATTTTCCCGAGAGCGTCTGAGCAAAGGGTTCTTCCAATACTGGGGTCTGTCGAACACCGTCACATCTACAGATATCGTCCTCACATCTTATCTTTACATATCATCTTCACATCTTCTCATCTTCACATCTCATATCATCGTCACATCCCCCCATCTTTACACATCATCTTCACATCTTCTCATCTTCACATCTACACGTGTCATCTTCACATCTTCACATCTTCACATCTACACATATCATCCTCACATCTTCACATCTGCACATAGCACCTTCCTGTCTTCACATCTTCACACCTCCTCTCCCTCTCTCTCTCTCTTTCCCTCTCTCCCTCTCTCTCTCTCTCTCTCTCTCCCTCTGTCTCTCTCTCTCTCTCTCCTCTGCCCTCTGTCACGGTCTCTCTCCTTCTTTTTCTTTTCTCTCTTTAGGCCGTAGGCAGTGCCGACGAGGCGCACCAAAATGGCCACCTTTTCGCACGAAATGAGGTGCGATCGTCAAAAACAGGAGTTTTTGGCGACTTTACTTGGTCCGGCGGCAACACTTTCGCACCAAATAAGATTCGATCGTCCAAAACTGTGGTAAAATTACGATTTTGAAGTATCCGCGGCAAACCTTTTGAACGAAATGAGGTTCGATTGTAAATAACTGAGGATTTTTTGCGACTGTGGTTGGTCCTGTTTAAGGGTCTATGTGTAAAAGTGTCTGTGCGTAAAGGGTTCTGTGTGTAAAAGCTTCTGTGTGTAAAATAAAGGAGCGCCTGTGTGTAAAAGCATCTGTGTGTAAAAGCCGTGCTTAAAAGCGTCTGTGTTTAAAAGCATCTGTGTGTAAAAGCGTTTGTGTGTGTGTAAAAGCGTTTCTGTGTCAAGGCCTCTGTGTGTGTGTGTGAAAGCGTCTGTGCATAGAAGCGTCTGTGTGTAAAAGCAACGGTCTGTCTCGAGAAGCGCCAGTGTGTAAAAGCGTCTGTCTGTAAAAGCGTCTGTGCTTAAAAGCTTCTGTTTTGAAAAGTTTCTACGTGTAAAAGTGACTGTGTGTAAACGTGTCTGTGTGTGAAGACTTCTGTCTGTAAAAGCATCTGTTTGCAAAAGCATTTGTGTAAAAGCGTTTCTGTGTATAGAGATGGACGGATTGATAGAACCTATTTTGGAAGCTCGAAAGTGAGATAAACGTCCTACGGATAGAACCTCCCGATTTGGTAAAATCTCAAAAATTAGAACCTTATAGCTGGTAAAATCTCAAAAGTTAGAACCTTATAAATTGTAAAATCTCAAAAGTTAGAACCTGATAGTGAAAGTACATATGTACATTGTATGTATATACATGTTATTATACACATGTTATTATACACATGAACTTTGCGCGTGTGACTTTGTGCGGCACATGTGCGGGCAAACTGTATAAAGCCGACTGATAGATTCCGCGAAAGTTTCATTTAGCGGCCATGCCAGCAGCAATGTTGATAAGAGAAAAAATGATTTATGTCGCAGGGGGAGGGCAGTGGTCCACCATACAGTTGCAGAGCCCAAAACATAGAACCTGCCCAACCATCCAAAAAGCAAGTTAGAACGTCAGACGTTCTAAGTTTTGGAGTTAGAACGTCAAATTGCAGCATTTTGGAAACAGCTTTCCACATTTTAACAATCAGTTTGGCTCCATAAAGGCCTCTGTGTGTGAAAGCGTCTGTGCGTAGAAGCGTCTGTGCAAAAGCGTCTGTGTGGAGAAGAGCCTGTGTGTAAAAGCGTCTGTGTGTAAAAGCGTCTGCGTGTAAAAGTGTCTGCGTGTAAAAGAGCCTGTTTGTAAAAACATCTTTGTGTAAAAGCGTCAGTGTGTAGAAGCGTCTCTGTGTGTAAAAACGTCTGTGTGTAAAATGTCTGTGTGGAGACAAGCCTGTGTGTAAAAG